TGGCACACATCAGAAGAGTAAGCCTGTCTTTCATAGGCTTATGTCCTGGGAGTGCCTTTTCCTCCTGAGTAATGTAGATCCTGCTTGGCAATTTCTTCCAAAACAGGCCTGTTTCATCGCAATTAAACACTTGTTCAGGTTTCAAGTCTTCACTGTCTATGTAATCCTTGAATTCCTTCACATATTTTTCAGCTGCTTTTTGGTCCGAACTGGCAGCCTCACCATGCCTAATCACACTATGTATGCCACTACGATTCTTAAATCTTTCAAACCAACCTTTGCTGGCCTTAAATTCATTCACATCACCACTAGTTGCAGGCAATTTCTTTACCAAATCGTCATGCAACTGCCTAGCCTTTTCACAAATGATCGCTTGAGAGATGCTATCTCCTGCTATCTGTTTTTCATTTATCCACACCAATAACAGTCTCTCAACATCTTCTAACACTTGCGGTCGCTGTTTCGTAATCACAGTTGCACATTTTGCAACAACAGCTTCCTTGATTGCCGTTTTCCTGGTCACTATAGTAGAGATGGTAGATTGGGGTTTTGTATACAACCTGGCCAGCTCCAACACATGCACTCCACTTTCATACTTTGCAATTATCTCTTTCTTCATTTCAATAGTCATTAGCACCCTTTTTCTCAAAGGGTTGGCACTAGAAGCTTTCTTGGGGCCCATGGTGACTTATTTTCCAGAAACAAGCACCAAAAACACTGTGATAATATGGAATGTACCAAATGTATCCTTAGATGTGAGCACACTGGCTGGCTTGTAAACACTGGCACACATGGGGCAGTTCAGGCCACACGTGGACACATTTCGGACGAATCGCATATACCGGGTTTTTTAACGAGTGGCGAGGCAAAATTTTTATTTTAAAATGCATCGAATACCGGATTTATCGGATACCGATGGCATCGCGAACCGGGGGTCCACTGTAACAACAACAACAACAACAGCAGCAGCAGCAGCAGCAGCAGCAGCAGCAGCAGCAGCAGCAGACAGCGAGGCACAGCAAGCACAGCCAGGAGTCAGGCACAGAGCAGCAGCAGCAGCAGCCAGCAGCAAGCAGCAGCAGCACAGCAGCAGCAGCCAGCAGCAGCAGCAGCAGCAGCAGCAGCAGCAGCAGCAGCAGCAGCAGCACAGCAGCAGCAGCAGCAGCAGCAGCAGCAGCAGCAGCAGCAGCAGCAGCAGCAGCAGCAGCAGCAGCAGCAGCAGCAGCACAGCAGCAGCAGCAGCAGCAGCAGCAGCAGCAGCAGCAGCAGCAGCAGCAGCAGCAGCAGCAGCAGCAGCAGCAGCAGCAGCAGCAGCAGCAGCAGCAGCAGCAGCACAGCAGCAGCAGCAGCAGCAGCAGCAGCAGCAGCAGCAGCAGCAGCACAGCAGCAGCAGCAAGCAGCAGCAGCAGCAGCACAGCAGCAGCACAGCAGCAGCAGCAGCAGCAGCAGCAGCAGCAGCAGCAGCAGCAGCAGCAGCAGCAGCAGCAGCAGCAGCAGCAGCAGCACAGCAGCAGCAGCCAGCAGCAGCAGCAGCAGCAGCAGCAGCAGCAGCAGCAGCGCAGCACACAGCAGCAGCGCAGCAGCAGCAGCAGCAGCAGCAGCGCAGCAGCAGCAGCAGCAGCAGCAGCAGCAGCAGCAGCAGCAGCAGCAGCAGCAGCAGCAGCAGCAGCAGCAGCAGCAGCAGCAGCAGCAGCAGCAGCAGCAGCAGCACAGCAGGCAGCAGCAGACAGCAGCAGCAGCAGCAGCAGCCAGCAGCAGTAGTATAATAATAACATAATATGTATAATAATAATATGTATAATAATAGTAATATGTATAATAATAATATAATATACATGTAATTAAATAATAATAATACATGTATAATAATAATGTACTATGCATTAATTATAATAATAGATGGCTTCAAAAGGCTGTCACTAGAGGCAGTGATTACCACAACAAAGCGGAAGCAGTTGTGGCCGCCTCCACCTGTAACATGACATTTTTTATTCATTCTAGAGTATATATCAGGTTTCTATGTTATTTATATTGTGTATTACGTCATATTAGGTGAATTGTGATACATAAATAAGCCAAATACAGTAGACCCCCGCATACCGTTGGCCTTACATAACGTTAAATCCGCATACCGATACATTTTATCGCTAAGATTTTGCCTCGCATACCCGCATACCGTTAAAAAACCCGCTCAACACTGTTCGTCCGAGACGCGTCTAATGTGCGGCCTGAGCCAGCCTCACATGTTCCGCCGGTGGCATTGTTTACAAGCCAGCCTCCGTGGTAACATCCAAGCATACAATCGGAACATTTCGTATTATTACAGTGTTTTTGGTGATTTTTATCTGCAAAATAAGTGACCATGGGCCCCAAGAAAGCTTCTAGTGCCAACCCTACAGCAATAAGGGTGAGAATTACTATAGAGATGAAGAAAGAGATCACTGATAAGTATGAAAGTGGAGTGCGTGTCTCCGAGCTGGCCAGGTTGTATAGTAAACCCCAATCAACCATCGCTACTATTGTGTCCAACAAAACGGCAATCAAGGAAGCTGTTCTTGCCAGAGGTTCAACTGTGTTTTCGAAACAGAGATCGCAAGTGATGGAAGATGTTGAGAGACTCTTATTGGTATGGATAAATGAAAAACAGATAGCAGGAGATAGCATCTCTCAAGTGATCATAAGTGAAAAGGCTAGGAAGTTGCATCAGGATTTAATTAAAAAAATGCCTGCAACTAGTGATGATGTGAGTGAATTTAAGGCCAGCAAAGGTTGGTTTGAAAGATTTAAGAAGCGTAGTGGCATACATAGTGTGATAAGGCATGGTGAGGCTGCCAGTTCGGACCACAAAGCAGCTGAAAAATATGTGCAAGAATTCAAGGAGTACATAGACAGTGAAGGACTGAAACCTGAACAAGTGTTTAATTGTGATAAAACAGGCCTGTTTTGGAAGAAAATGCCAAGCAGGACCTACATTACTCAGGAGGAAAAGGCACTCCCAGGACATAAGCCTATGAAAGACAGGCTTACTCTGTTGATGTGTTCCAATGCTAGTGGTGATTGCAAAGTGAAGCCTTTATTAGTGTATCACTCAGAAACTCCCAGAGTGTTCAGGCAAAAGAATATCCTCAAGGCTAATTTGTGTGTGCTGTGGAGGGCAAACAGTAAGGCATGGGTCACTAGAGACTTTTTCTATGACTGGTTACACCATGCATTTGCCCCCAATGTGAAAGATTACCTACCTGAAAAGAAATTAGACCTTAAGTGCCTCCTGGTGTTAGACAATGCCCCTGGTCATCCTACAGACGTGGCAAAGCGACTTTATGGGGACATGAGCTTCATTAAGGTGAAGTTTTTGCCTCCTAATACCACTCCTCTCCTGCAGCCCATGGACCAGTAGGTTATTGCAAACTTCAAAAAACTGTACACAAAAGCTCTGTTTGAAAGGTGCTTTGTAATGACCTCAGAAACTCAACTGACTCTAAGAGAGTTTTGGAGAGAGCACTTTAATGTCCTCAATTGTGTAAACCTTATAGGTAAGGCTTGGGAGGAAGTGACTAAGAGGACCTTGAACTCTGCTTGGAAGAAACTGTGGCCAGAAAGTGTAGACCAAAGGGATTTTGAAGGGTTTCAGGCTAACCCTGAGAGGAGTATGCCAGTTGAGGAATCCATTGTGGCATTGGGAAAGTCCTTGGGGTTGGAGGTTAGTGGGGATGATGTGGAAGAGTTGGTGGAGGAGGACAATGAAGAACTAACCACTGATGAGCTGCTAGATCAACTTCAACAGCAAGAGGCCAGACCTGAGGAAACTGGTTCGGAGGAGGGGAGAGAGAAATTGAAGAAGTTGCCTACTACAAAGATTAAGGAAATCTGTGCAATGTGGCTGAAAGTGCAAACCTTTATGGATGAAAATCACCCTCACACAGCTATTGCAAGCCGTGCTGGTGACTATTACACTGACAATGTTGTGAAACACTTTAGGGAAGTCATAAAGGAACGAGAGGTACAGGCCACTATGGACAGATATGTTGTGCGACAGAAGTCCAGTGACTCTCAAGCTGGTCCTAGTGGCATTAAAAGAAGAAGGGAAGTAACCTCAGAAAAGGACTTGACACCTCAAGTCTTAATGGAAGGGGATTCCCCTTCTAAACACTAAGACTCTCTCCTCCTCCCATCCCATCAATCATCACCAGATCTTCAATAAAGGTAAGTGTCATGTAATTGTGCATGCCTTTTTCAGTTTGTGTGTATTAAAATTAATATTTCATGTGGTAAAAATTTTTTTTTTCATACTTTGGGGTGTCTTGCACAGATTAATTTGATTTCCATTATTTCTTATGGGGAAAATTCATTTGCATAACGATAATTTCGCATAACAATGAGCTCTTAGGAACGGATTAATATCGTTATGCAGGGGTCCACTGTAGATGATATCAGTGAAATACTGAAGTATCTTGTCGTGCCTCCTGAGAGCCGGAACGGATTAATTTTATTTCAATTAATTTACTGAGGAAAAGTAACTCTGCAAATGAGCAAATCCAGATGCAAGGAAGGTCATGGAATGGATTAAGCTCATAAGCAGAGGTTCCACTGTATTTAAAAAATGTTGTTTGGTAAATATGGAGGCCTTTGGAATGTAGCCCTAGTTTTACCACACTCTTCTCTTCACAAAAATCTATTTTCCATAAGGTGTTGATTTTCAGGAACATAATTCATCAATAATGAAAACACAACTGCTAGAAGCTATATATACCTATGAAGGTATATATAGCTTCTAGCTCCTCTTCTGTCTACACTACAATGTTTATCAAAACTGATATCCAAAATTCTGTGTTTACTGCATGTGTCTGATGTACAGTATGTAATGAGATACTGTATGTAAATTAGACACATGTGCAACCCTTGGGTATCAATAAAGATACCCAAGAGTTGCACGTGTCTAATTTATCAACATGTCGGTTCTCTGAACCATTCATCTACAAGAGATACTGTATGTTACTTACTGATGTTATAGCTGTAACAGTGGCTAACTCTGTAGTTTCCCCATCAATCACCTTCTTAGTAACATAGTTGCGGATTGCTGCCTCAACACAGTGCTTTGTTGTCTCACTGCAGAGAAAAAATTATGACATTAGTCTCTAGATTATTTATATAGTACATGTATATTGAACTCAAATAATAATCATTAAAAAAATATAAAAACTGCACATGAAAATATGTTTTTCATTCAGTAATGTTGTAACAATATATAACACAGCCTCTCCTCACTTAACAATGGAGTTCCGTTCCGAAGACCACGTTAGTAAACGAATTCGTTGCTAAGCAAGGAGCATACTATAATGGTAGTGGGTTTGTGTTAACCATCTCTGATATAGTTTTAATGTCACCTTTGCACCATTTATAACATTTTTAGTATACAGGTCGGCATCACTGGAACCGGTAGTGTGTTGGCTTAGTAAGTTTGCCGGATTACTGAGTGGTAAGGTTAGAATACACTTAATTACCCTATCAATAGAGACTCTTTCTGCTACATCTTCCTCATTTCCATCACTGCTTTCTCCTTCACTGGCTTGCTGCTGTGGATTTACAACCATCTGTACAATTTCTGAGTCAGTATAATGATGAAATTTAAGTCAGTACAGTGGTCCCTCAATTATCGCCCATAATCTGTTCCTGGAAGTGGAACTATTATCGAAATGGATGATTTACGAATCAATTTTCTCCATAAGAAATAATGTAAATTCAATTAATCCGTTCCTGACCCCCAGAAGTATTAAAACAAAAATTTTTTTTACATGAAATATAGATGTAGTACATAAACAATACAGTGGCACATGATGAATTAAACATTAACAGAATAACACTTACCTTTATTGGCGATTCTTCTTTGTGTATTGAAGACTGGAGAAGGAAACAGATTGGATGATTTACTGTTTGGAAGGGGAATCCCCTTCCATCAACACCTCGGGTACCAATTGCTTTTCTGGGGTTACTTCTCTTCTCTGTTTCTTAATGCCACTAGGACCACCTTGAGAGTCACTGGAGTCCTGTCTCGCAAAAAAACTGTCCAGAGAGCTCTGTTTTTGGCATCTCTTTAAAACTTCCCTAAAATGGGCCAAGGCTCTGTCACTGTACAAGTTGCCGATATGGCTTGCAACATCCTTCTCTGGGTGATGTTTCTCCATAAATCTTTCCATCCTACCCCACATTTCAAAAATCTCCTTAATTTCTGAAGAAGGCACCTTCCTCCATCTCTCTTCCTCCTCCTCTGCAGCAAGATTCTGAGCTGTGATCTGTTGTTCTTCCTGCTGAAGCTCTTGCAGCTCCTCAGTGGTTAGCTCTTCGTTGTGGTCCTCCACCAACTCTTCCACATCCTCCAAACTCACATCCAACCCCATGGAACTCCCCAGTGCGACAATAGAGTTCACAACTGACATAGGCTCATCATGGGCTGCCTCAAACCCTTCAAAATCCCTCTTGTGGACACAATCTGGCCACAATTTTCTCCAAGCAGAGTTCAAAGTCCTGGTAGTCACTCCCTCCCAAGCCTTACCTATAAGGCTTACGCAATGGAGAATACTGAAGTGTTCTTACCAAAAATCTCGTAGGGTCAAGTGAGTGTCTGAGGTCACATTCAAGCACCTTTCAAACATTGCTTTGGTGTTGAGTTTTTTAAAGTTTGAAATGACTTGCTGGTACATGGGCTGGAGGAGAGGAGTGGTATTCGGGGGCAAGAACTTTACTGTGATGAACCCAAACTCCTTCAGAATTAGGTCATCCAAGTTTGGAGGATGAGCAGGTGCATTGTCCATTACTAGAAGGCACTTGAGATCCAATTTCTTTTCCACTAGGGCCAAACACTTCATTGAACCACTCGACGAAAATGTCCCTTGTGACCCATGCCTTACTATTAGATCTCCAAAACACACACAATTTACTCTTCATAACATTTTCTTGAACACTCTGGGATTTTCAGAATGGTACACTAGTAACGGCTTCACTTTGAAATCCCCACTAGCATTAGCACAGAACATTAGCGTCAGCCTGTCTTTCATAGGCTTGTGTCCTGGCAGCGCCTTTTCTTCCTGAGTAATGTAGGTCCTCTTTGGCATTTTCTTCCAAAAGAGGACTGTTTCATCACAATTGAACACTTGTTCAGGTTTCAGTCCTTCACTGTTTATGTACTCCTTGAATTCATGCACATATTTTTCAGCCGCCTTGTGGTCCGAACTGGCAGCCTCACCATGCCTTACCACACTGTGTATGCCAGTACGCTTCTTAAATCTCTCAAACCAGCCTTTGCTGGCCTTAAATTCATTCACATCTCCTGCTAATTGTTTCTCGTTTATCCACACCAATAATAACTTCTCAACATCTTCGAGTACTGGTGATCTCATTTTTGTCAGCATATTTACCCCCTTTGCAACAACAGCGTCCTTGATTTCCTTTTTCTCGGCTATGATGGAAGATATGGTTGTACGGGATTTGTTATACATCCTGGCCAGTTCGCAAACACGTACGCCACTATCATATTGTTCAATGATGTTTTTCTTAAATTCAATCGTATTTCTCACCTTCTTTACCAAAGACTTGGCACTAGGAGCTTTCTTTGGAGCCATGGTAGCTTATTTAGCACTTAAATAACTTGCAAGCACTAAAATAAATGGAATATTATGAAATATTTTGCTGGAGCACGTGAGGGGACCGTCGCTCACTGGTAAACAATGGCACACTGGCTGGGAAGGGAAGGCCCAGGCGGCTCAGAGCGTGAGTATGCGTCCCGGACGAAGGACTATTAGCGAGTTACCGGATCATTTGCGAGCCAATATTTAGAAGAAATAACAGGACTATTTCCGAAATGGACGACTTTCAGGCCGGATGATTATTGAGGGACCACTGTATAATGATTTGAGTCAGTATAATGATGAAATTTGAAATTATGTCAGCAGAAATTAGTGCTGGAATACTGATGGAACCGGATAACTGATTGCCGGATTAGTGATGGCCGACCCATATTTTTAAATGTTTATACAGTAGTGTATGTACTCTATATTGTAATAAACAGAATAGAGGAAATCAGCTCTAATATACATTACAGTCTCTCCTCACTAAGTGAGGAGCATACTATAATGGTAGTGGATTTGTGTCAACCATCTCTGACATTGTTTTAATGTCACCTTTACACCATTTATAACACTTTTGGTATATTTTTAAATGTTTATACAGTAGTTTACTGTATTATGTAATAAACAGAATTGAGGAAATCAGCTCTAATACACATTATTTAGGTATGCATACCAGTCAGAGAGCCCATCGTAAGCTCGAGTTGTTGGTAAAAGAGTATGTCGCTAAGTGAGGAGAGGCCGTATTTAGGTATGCAACCTGGTCAGAGAGCTCATCATAAGTCTGGGTCATCGGTAAACAAGTACATCGCTAAGTGAGGCGAGGGTGCACTGTAATTATCATATTTTGTAAAACAGATGTTCACAGCTGTTAATTTCAAATGATTTTTAATCATTTTGTTTAGATGTAAGCTATACCAAAAGTGGAACACTTTTTTTTTTTGTTAATTCAGTACTGCAAGTCAGTCTTACGTTTGATTGAAATGCTCTGCATATAAAGGGACTTTTGGCATGTACACCCAACTGTTATACTCCTTTGTACAAACATGTATTATGTTGAAATAAACTTCTTATTCTTATTCTCATTACTGCATGTTTTGTGCTCTGTGGGGTGAAGAGATGTTGAAAATGTCGAAAAGGCCTATGGGTAATACATAAAAAAAGAGAGGAAGCATTTACAGTGGACCCCCGGTTATTGGCCGGTTTGGTTATTGGCCAACTCAGTTATCGGTGGGGTTTTCGGCACCTGGTTATCGGCCGTTCACTCAGTTATCGGCCATTTTGGACGAGTCCATCCGCTGGCTGAGGCAGCTTGCGCTTCAGTTTGGCCTTGTCTCTCGGTGGCTGAGGAAGCTTCTGCTCATACATCCAAACATTTCACTTGTTCACCATTGTTTTTAGTGGTTTTTCTTGCAGTGCAACTGTGAAATAAGTAACCAGGGCTCCAAAGAAAGTTCCTAGTAAAGTTCCTATGATAAAGAAAGTGAGAAACACCATGGAATTTAAGCGTGAAGTGACAGAAAAGTTTGAGAGTGGTATGAAGATGGTGGAACTTGCCAGGATGTACAGCAAGAATAAATCAACAATTACATCCATCCTGGCAAAGAAAGAACAAATCAAAGATGCTAATGTTGCAAAAGGAGTAGCTTTTCTAACTAAACAAGGACACTAATAATGGAAGAGATGGAAAAGTTATTATTATTGTGGATTCAAGAAAAAGAATTAGTGGGAGACAATGTTGTGGAGTCGATCATTTGTGAGAAGGCAAGGTAAAGCAGTTGCATGAGGATCTTGCAAAAAAAAAATGCCTGGAACAAGTGCTGCAGTTTGTGAATTTAGGGCCAGCAAAGGATGGTTTGATAGATTTAAGAAGCGTAGTGGCATACACAGTGTTGTAAGGCATGGTGAGGCTGCAAGTTCTGACAAATGTTAGGCTGAAAAGTATGTTCAAGAATTCCAGAACTATGTAGAGGCTGAAGGATTCGAACCCCAACAAGTGTTCAATTGTGACGAAACAGGCCTGTTTTGGAAGAAAATGAGAAACAGGACCTATATTACCCAGGAGGAAAAGGCACTGCTAGGACACAGCCTATGAAAGACAGGCTCACTCTTTTGTTGTGTGGTAATGCTAGTGGGGATTTCAAAGTGAAGCCTTTACTCATGTATCACTCAGAAAATCCCAGTGTTTAAGAAAAACAATGTCATGAAGAATAGCTTGTGTGTGATGTGGAAAGCTAATCATAAGGCATGGGTCACAAGGCAAATTTTCAGAGTGGGTTAATGATGTATTTGGCCCAAGTGTGAAAAAATACCTCCTGGAAAAGAAATTGCCACTCAAGTGCCTCCTGGTACTGGACAATGCTCCTGTACATCCTCCAGACTTGGAAGACCAAGTGTTTAGGGACTTCAGTTTTATAAAAGTGAAGTTCTTGCCTCCTAACACCACTCCTTTCCTCCAGCCCATGGAGCAGCAGGTTATTTCTAACT